TTCTTCCAGAAATTCAAGGAGGTACCTTTTATAAAGATTTTACCAGGTAGCTCCTCAGGGCCTGGAAAAAGCATCTTTTGCTCTCTTAAAATCAATTTGACATTCAGTATCAAAACCTGTGTGCGCCCCCTGAAAAGGGCAATCACTGTAATTGAGCTGGGTGGTCAGGGTGGATGTGAGCCCATGGCAACACCGCTGTCAGAGGCACACACAGTTTGGTGGCTGGGGCCAAGGCCATGGCAGCTGCTTCCCATGGCTCCAGCCTCCTGGGGGTCAGCAGTCAGGAACTCTGCCTTTTCTCTGACTCCATGAAATCTCAGCATCAACTTTCTGTAATCTGCTTTTGTGTAATTAAGTGTGCACCCGTTCACCAAATCATTTATCCCTCAGTATTGAGCTGTTCCATCAATGGACTGCATATCCAAACCTACTGCCTAGAGTAGTTTCTCATACTTCAAAATACACAACATTAATTTGGGATCATTTTCAGTTTATTTATTTTTAATACCTCATGAATGATGCCTTGTCTAACCTGAGGTTTGTCATAAACATGGAGAAAGCATTTATTTGTATTTGAATTTACATTTCCCTGTATAGAAAGAAAATGTTTCAGAACTTCCCCAGAACTTTCAATCCCACTTGAGGTATTTGAAATAAATGAATCATAGGTGGTGGAGCTCTCTTCCAGTCAATTTAGCAAGTAAAATCTAGTCTTAGAATTCTCAAAAGCACCTATAATCTCTCACATGTGAAATACTTAATTGCAGCTAGTTTCAGTAGATGCCCCGCTTTGTCTAGGAATTTTATGTAAAAAACATGCTCATTTGGAGTCTCTATATTTCTAATTCCACTTTGAAAACGTGTATCTGTAAGATTTTTCTGAAGATATTGGTTAACTAGAAGGCAAAGGGATCTCTTTAAAGGGATCTAGTTAAAAGAAAAAAAAAATAAATTTGTTTTCAGCCTTCCTTTTTATGAAGGTTTGAATACTTTTAGATGCGTAAGATCTAAACAATAGTGTAATGTCAATTGTATGAGAATTTATAGCATTTCAAGCTTTTCCATATTTTCAATATAATCTATTGTTTGTCACTGGGGGGAAGACTCAACTAGAATTTGAAACTTGAAGCATTGTTTTGCTCAAAAGCAGTAATACATAGTTATTAAAGTTACTATTATCTGCTTAACAGTAAATCTGCTTCTCATGGGAAAGTTACAGATGCTTTCATGCTCCCAGAAATATGTCAAAAAAGACAATATGAAAATAAAGAATCCTATAAAATCTCATTTTGGTTTTTTTTCCTTCCTATTTTGCATAGCCCTGCTTTCATCTCTATTGCTGACCAAAGGGATAAAGATTCCCTTTGAACCTGATTTGAATCTCAGAGACTCCTTGGAGTTTGGAGCTGAAACCCTGGAATATGTTACTTTATTGAGTGGAGCAATTAGTTACAATCTACTCACAATGTGCTTTTATTCTTAATTCACTTGGGTTACTGGAAGCTCCTTCTAAAATGCATTTCTTGTCCACAGCTGCTTGTCAGAGACAAGTAAAGGCACACAATTTAGCAGAACATGAAAGGGATTTGGTGAAATTAGGAGGCAAATCATCTTCCTGGTTATGAAAGTGAAGTGAGGAGGGTGCATTGGGGAAGAGCAGTCTGAAAAGGATACTGACAGTATTTTGGATGGAACAGATGCCATTTGGCAAGTTAGATTTTGTACTCTGTACTGTTCATGGAAGATAGCAGTGGTTAAAATCTTTGAGGGAAGCTTTCCAATGAATTTAGAAGTTTAAATCAAGCAACTTTCTAATTTCCACAATCAAACCCAAGCATATTGGTTGAAGTGGGGAACGGACCAGTTCTAGGAACTTTCCCCTCAGAAACAGGGGATGGGATGAGCTGCGCAGGACTGAAAATGTGAAGAATAAGCAAGGTACTGAGGCTGCCTGTGCAGTTTCACTGTGCACATCCTGTCCCCATCCCATCCAGAGAAAGAGCTCTGAGGCAGGGAAAAGGCAGCAGACCGTGTTGTCGTGTGGCTGATTCCCCAAGGTTTCTCTGTGAGCAAGGCAGCTCTAGCCAGACTTTATGCTGCCTCTTGAGTGGAAGGGGGAGCATGGAAGTGAAAACATGCCAGGGAGCTACTGCAGTGGGGCCACATGTTCCTGCTCTCCACATGCAGGAGCTCTGTGGTTACACAAGGATATGCAGCGGCATCCCTATCACCCTGTTCTCTTCTCACAGCACAGTGTCCAAAATTAAGGTTTCCCTGGTTTTTACCTAGCAACAGAATTCTTCTTTTTTGTCTTTATTATAATTATTTAAAGAAAGAAAAATACTTTTCTGACAAAAACCTCTCGGGAATTACATCAACCATATGAAATATAAATACGTTTCCTCTCCCTTTGTATAAATAATGGATTAGGTTTTCACTGGAGAAGCTGAGAGTAGGATTTAAGGACAACTTGTGTAACTCACAAAGTAGGCTATGGTGTACAGCAGCAGACTGTTATAAAACATGACACAGTAGGAAATGTGATTAATGTGTGATGGAAACCCCTTGGTAGATCAGGTTGCTAAAGTATGTACTGTACCCTACCTGTGGTTTGGTTTATGTTCATTAGCATCTGGACAGAAGTGAACTGCTACCTGGCAGAGTGTTATTTTATCCAGTAATGTGTGATTTAATGACAACATTATCGCACTATACCTTTTCTGTGTTTATGGAAGAAAAGCATTTCACTGTTTTTAGGATGAAGAACAAGAATTTGAGTGTAAAAGTGAACTATAATCCTTCCTTCAAGGATGACATAAGTCTGACTTGGGAAGAATACCGAGAGCTGAATGTGAACTTGGTGTCCTCATACCAATTAGCAGCAGATGAGAAGCATGCTGTGGAGCAACAGCCTCTGTAAGAGCTCTGGGATGCTCACAGAGTGCCTGCTTGTTTTATGGGGCCAGCCAAGCAAAACTCCCTGCTTGGCATGTGCTCCACTAGGCTGGTGTTTTGTCACCATTGCGAGACATTGCTTTTGTAGAGAAGTAAATAAAAAGTGACTGCCAAATCCCCAAGCATGAGTTTTCTAAATCTGGTGTATCCAGACCCCTGATTCTAAATTGCATTAAGACCTCTCAGGAATTATAACCTGGAACAATTCAAGCTTCTGTTGATGCATAAACAAGAATGTTTATGAAAACAGTGTAGCTTGGATCTGTTTGTCCCTTTTTGATTGGTGATGAGCTAATTTTATTTTAAAACTTGAGTCTACTCCTTGGTGCACGAAGGGACAGAGTGAACTCAGTGGAGCTGAAATTTCCTGAATTATAAGTTTAGCCCTGACTCTGGTTTAGGGAAGCATATTGGGCTGGTCTAAAGTTGCTGTGACTTTTTTCTAGTTTTCTGAGTCAGGCTTTCTTTCATATATCTGTACAGGGAACATTTACAAAATTGTAGGACTCTGCAACATATAATTGATATTTCCTGTGATTTTTTTTTTTTTTTTTGGACAAGTTTTATTAGTCAAGATTTGTGGAAACTTTTAATATCATCTTTCTTTTCTCTGACTGAATTCTATCACAATTGCATTTTTTGTTTACATAAGTACAATCTGTAAGCTGATTTCAGAGCAAAATACCTAGGAGTAAGATATATTCCCAGTGTGATTTATTTTTATTTTAATGAATCATAGGATGGCCTGGGTTGATAGGGATCTTAAAGGTCATCCAGTTCTTACTTCCCTGCCATGGACAGGGACCCCTTACACTAGACCACATTGCTCAGAGCCCCATCCAGCCTGGCCTTGAACACTTCCAGGGATGGGGCATCCACAGCTTCTCTGAACAATCCAATCCAAGTTAAGTGAGGGACAACTTTGTCTTGTGTGTTCTGAAAGGAAAAAGTAGTTTTAGCAACAGAGCCTTGGTGTAGCTTACCTACATGAGAGCAGAACCAAAAACTAAGATAATAGGTTTCATAAAGACAATCTATATGTTAAACCATCATGCTCAGAATATTTAAATATAAATGCTGATAAATAGCTAAGACATTCATAAAATGTGCTCTGTATTGTAGGGATTTTGTCACATTGTAAAAAAAATATTAAGCTACTTTAAAAATAAAATTTGTTGGATTGTTTTCAAAAAAATTGGAATTTTTTGGGGGGGATTTGTGTGCATATGATGTTTTTCCTATGAAAAATTTAAGACACTAAGAAAAATTTCTCAATTACATGCCAAACCACTTTGCTTTTTATTTGCAAGTTGTTTTTTAACAAGAAGGTAATATTAAAAGAAGCTTTAAGCAAATTTCTAAAGATAAGATTTTTTATTACAAGTTTTCCTTCTTGCCTCCTTTGAAGGACATATTGTTCTGCTAAAAAATGAAAGAATGTCAGAAATTCTGGGTTGTTACTGCTACTACTCACTCCAAACATTCTTTGGAGGTGAAAAATATTTGAATTAAAACTTAGGACTTAAGCTCATCATGCTTGTCTGTAGGGTTCTGCCTACGTGACCTTGCCCAAATCATTAAATACTGATCCTGGGAGACGTACTTGAGCACATTCCACAGGTGCTGGGCCCTGTGCTCTTTGTATTTCACTTTCTCTCAGTCCCATTTATTGTAGAAATCCCTGTTTTGTTCATCCAAGTGGTTTGGGTTTTTTTTAAGCTGCTTCACTTTGAAACTTGGCCCATGTGAAGGAAAATCGTGTGTTGTTTACAGGTGCTGCAGCCTGTTAAAAGCCCATTGACAGACACTGGCAGGCTAAGGCACAGATAAACCAATTGCTATTAACAACATGTAGCAGGTGACAAGAGAGTAGCTCAGTGAGGATTGTATGACCTACATTTCCATTTAATTTCTCACAATGTTTGCTGTGTCATATGGTTAACCTGGTTAGCCTGTTTTTTAACTGTTCTGTTCCTGCAGTTCTTTTAAAACTTGTAATGTATTTTGTGTAACCTCTTAAACACCTCAAGTTGTTTGTAATTTAGGCTTTGGAAACATCTCCCCACGCACACAAGGTGGAAAGATATTCTGTATCATCTATGCCTTATTGGGAATTCCTCTGTTTGGTTTTCTGTTGGCTGGTGTTGGAGATCAACTAGGGACAATCTTTGGAAAAGGAATTGCCAAAGTAGAAGATACCTTTGTTGTGAGTATGCTGACTGCCTCATTTGGTTTTTTTTCTGCTTGTTCTGAATCTCACAAGTGAAAGGAATAGCCTGAAAAACAGGGTTCATTGTTGCAGTCAGATGTACAGGAAGAGATAGAAAGGACTTGTCACAGTCTGAATTTGCTAATGAACACCTCTGAGAACTGGGTGAAGTCATTCCCTACCATGATTTACAGTTGGGAAGAGGAATAAGACTCAAAGAATTTTTTTTGCTCTGCCCTTTTTACTTGTAAGCTTGCTGTGATGCTTACCCTTAAAGGTTTTTGTACAGACTGTGATAAGAAATGTATTCACTGAGATTTTTTGAAGCAGTGAATGCTTAGTAACCAACTTTGTAGCTGTTTGCATCAGTACTGCAAGTGTTAGGACTGATTTTCCACATCAAGCCCTACCTTGCACACAAGACACCTTTTCTTTATAGAAAGGGTCTGACATGGTTTTGTTTTTGATACAAAGCAAACTGGGCCTGTGCTAAGAAGGCTTATGCAATAGGCAAACACAAGCTTGAAAGCTTTTTAAGAAAAGGCATGCATTTTCAGATTTGAAACATCAGTTCATGTCCAGACAAGGTACTGGTGAATTACATAGATTTCCATTGAGATTTGCCTGAAAAAGGCAAGAACATTTTATAACTTCTGGGGTTTCATAACTGATTTATTTTTTTTTTCTTAAAGGTATAGAAATTCTGAGATAAATTTTTGCCTTTTTTGCTTGTAGAGAAAATGATTTTCCTTTTTTTTTATTTTTTTTTTTATAATGGATGTATCCCTGCAAGAAGAATGCCCCAATATAAAAAAAGCAGTATCATCCCCTCTTTTCATAACATCTGAGTGAAAACACTGATCTAGATGTTGCAGTCTGGAACACTCTCTAATTCTGTTTATTAGCTTGCCTAAAGAAATGGGAGATGCTGATGGGTCAGAGCAGGTACTTTTATGTTGCCATAACAGAAGCTGTAACTCTTATTTGGGTTACAAAAGCTCAGCCTTGGTCATGCTGACTGTAAACACAGTTCCCACAGAAACTTAAAAGCAAGAAAACATCCATTGTGAACAACATGATTTCATTTTCTGTCGATTTCTGTGAAAGATTTTTGTATAATCTGTTATTTTAGGTTGAACTGACATGCATTGAATGGATGGAAAATGTGAAATTCGCTGGGCATGCAAAATGGAATTTTGCAGGAGTCTGTTCTAGCTTTAGTGCAGTTTACAAAAAATGTTAATAACATACACAATAGCTAAATGCCCTGGTTCATTAAATCTGCAGATGGTCTCAAGCTGTGGAGACAACTGAAACTTGGAGGATCAAAATTATCTCAAAATTTTTGAAAAACAGTCTGACTAGATAGGATCAAATTCAAGCAGGGCAAAGTCAAAGTAATATATGAAGGAATAATAAAATATGCAGCTGCATGTCAGGAAACAGCTGTCTAGGTGCAATTTTGTGAAAATGTTCTGTGGGCTCTAAAGGCTAACATGCTAACATTGGTTAATGGCCTACTGCTATGGAAAATAGGTACAACTGGAAATAGGCAAAGCATAAGAAAGGCTCATTCCATTCTGTGCTATTTTTTCCTATCTAATTTTGAGTACAACAATTAATGAAACATGGGCTAATTTGCTGGTGCCAAGGGATTGCAAGAAAAATAGGAAAGGGAAAAAAAAGAAATAAATTTATTTGGTTTAAAGATCATGTAACTGAAAGAGAAACACTATGAAAGTTTTCTGGAAAGAGAAAATTAGCAATTTCTTTGTTTGTCTTGGGTAAGACCATAAACAGCACACTTAAACATAAGGAGCTAAGATGTAGGTTCAACATTTGGAAAATCATCAGTTGACAAGAGCATGATCACATGTTGCCTGGCCAGTAATGTATTTGCAGTGGTTCAGGTGGGTTTGTTTTGTCTTTAGGCAGGTTTGGCTCTCTTACATCACTTCCAGCTCTGTTTTGTAGGATTTTGTTTAGCTGGTTATTTCATTGAAGAGAACTCTATGGTTAAAATGCACCTCATTTAGTTGGTTTTTTGTGGGTGTATAAAATTGGAGAAACTGCAGGTGCATGCACTACTTGTAACTCACTTGAATATCTAGACAGCCCTCAAATCTTTTACATCATCAGCTGTTAATATTAGTGAATGCTATACATGCTGCTCACCTGTGAAGGGTCCAGTCCCACTCTGCATTTACTACTGGCAAATGTTTCCTAGGATAGTCATGTTTGCTTTGAAACCCTTTTCAGCATAAAATCCTGCTTGAATTTTCCGGTTTGTTTGAGAATTATAACGCTGTGTCCTCTACAGCTATGTAGTGCACACTGGGGGGTGATGGGTGCTGATGTGCACTGGTGCATTTTTATTAACAATGGGTTTCCTCTCTTTCCCCTTCCCTTTCCAGAAATGGAATGTGAGTCAGACAAAGATTCGCATCATTTCAACAATAATATTCATACTGTTTGGCTGCGTGCTGTTTGTTGCTCTTCCTGCAGTTATATTCAAGCACATAGAAGGCTGGAACACATTAGATGCAATTTACTTTGTGGTTATCACTTTAACTACCATTGGATTCGGTGATTATGTTGCAGGTAAGTTTTTTTTTTTCATAGCTCTTTGTCTTAAAATGTTTTGCACAGTGATGTTTATTCTGCGTTTTTTTCTTAGCTTTGGGACAGATGTATCTCTCTTGTGGTGCCTCTCTCCCAGTTTCATCCTTCATCATTCATGTGATGGGGCCTGTCCTTATTTTGGTTGATGTGACAGTGTAGAGACAGGAGGAGTGACAGTGAAATTCATGGTGCATGTCTCTGCCTACTAGTTTTTTCTCTTCCTATACTATTAAATATTAAGTAGGATATCATTTCTGTAGGGTTTTTTTTTTTCTTACAAGGTTACAAAGTGGAAGCACTAATATAGCATTTTAATCTCACTATACCTTTTCAGCTGGATTTGTTTAAAATGCTTCACCCTGTGAAATTATATAAGTTTTGTGTGCATCCCTTACTTTCAAAATATTCCAGAGCTCTCTTTCTGCCATTGAAATGTCTGTATTCTGTGAGGACTTTTGGATCCTATTCCTGTGGGTTTTTGTCAGTATGCACTTGCCCATATTTTTTTTTGTAATGTCATGAGAAGTTTTAGTACAACCTGTAGAGAACGTGTCCAATTTTTATGGTTCCATTAAGTTGAATTAGTTTCAAACAACTTTGGTATGCTAAGCTAAAAAAAAGTCTGGGCCACTTCTCTGTGTAAACTTTTTTCTTGAAAAGATGTCAGAGGTGTTCACTTGGATTTGAGTAGGTCTATGCTGTCTGTGCTGAGAAAGCACATTGATCTGAGTCAGTGATGTGTAGAGGTGAGGATCAGGAAATCAGAGCTTTGTGCTCCAAGCCCGAGACTTGCTTTCCTTGGCCGGATCTGATGCTTCTGCTGATACAGAACCATCACCTCTCTCATGGAACACTGCTCTCCCACCTCTGAACTCTGTGCAAGGCAGAGATGGCCAACAAGGCCCTTTGTGCTGGGTCTGCTCTCAGCAAGAGACTCTGCAGGAGGGAGTTGTTTTTAGTAGGCACTCACACACTGTGGGCTCCTCCTGTGGCTTGTCTGTGCCCATGGCTGCTGTGTGAGTACAAGTGTGCCAAGCCGAGGTTCTCAGGTTGGGTAATTCATCTTGTAGGCGTGCCTGAGGTTTTGTCTTGATGGCAGTAATGGGTCTTGTCACTGGCAGAAGTTTTTCAAGTTGGAGAGGTCCAACAAGGACCTCTAAAGTGTCAGAACTGCTTGTTGCTTCTGTAAATGGTGTGGGTAAAATGTGGGTAAATTTATTTGTTGTTGAAGATAACTGCTACTGCTACTCAGGCAGCCTTCATTTTTAGACTGCTTGCAAACCTGGTAAAAATTTTTGTAAATCATAGAACTGAGCTGTAAATTAGCAAATCAATTTTTTTTTTTTTACTTTTATGTAGTTATTTGTGATGTTTCCAAATGTCTTTGTATGTATCTTGACTTCTGCCTTTCCATTTTCTTTCCTGTGTTCCTTTTCTTATTTTCATTTTGTCTTCAGAATTTGTGATTCCAGTCAGATAACGACTAGCATGAAATAAAAAATTTATGCTGTTTCTGAGTCAAGAACCTGGGTGTTTTAGACTTTCATTCCTGAAGGGTATGTGTATGACAGGGAATAAAAATGATAGTGTATAAAGGCCTGGTTATATTTACTGTAAAGCATTATGTGAAATGGCCCACTTGGCTCTAACTAGAACACTGAGTACATTCATCATCACTCCCATTATAAATTTCCATAGACTTTTCTATTTGTAGGCCATTTGATATAATAATTTTTTCCTACATTGTCTGCTTTTTAATTCTACCAGGAAACACTTTCTCTTTCTACAGAATGTCCTTGAATTATATTGTTCTATAGCTGATAGCCTTTTATGGTTCACTTGAAAAATGTTCTTTATTTAATTTAAAATCCTACTGTAAATCCATTATTTCAAAGCATCAAAAATGTTTTCTAGTTTCTTTGAGCAACAATTTGTACTTGCAGAGACAATGCTCAAGAGAACAGGGTTAAATGGCTGGCTGCATCATAACTGGGAGCTAAATATTCCCATGGGACTGTGTTCTGACAGGAATGAAGCTGAGAATATCATAAAATTTGGGTGAACTAAAATACTTTGGTTTTGGTCGGTGACTTGAAGGATTTTTCAAAAATGTCCGTTTGTTTTGTGTTTTTTTTTGCAGTACACTGTTGTCAGGTTAGATAAAATTTTTGAAAAATAGGTAAGGTATTAATTGACTGAGTTTTACATTGTGTAAGTTTTCAGTCATTGGTGTGTATATAAGTAAGAAATTATTTGAACCCTAACAAATCAGTACCTTTTATTCATGATTTTTTGGTTTGTTTGTTTCTCTTTTAGGTAAGTCATGACTACAGAGTGGACACTAAGGACCACTGATATTTTTGTGGTAGGCTTTGTCTGGAGAGCTCTCCTTGAAGTTTAGGAAAGCTGGGTGTCACAGACGAGGGAGAAACATGAAGAGTTAAGACCTGTAATGCTGTAGAAGGCTGTAAAAGAGGTGGTCATGATAGAATATTGTGGTTTAGAGCATGCTGGTCTTGGTTGTGGTTTGCCATGGTGAAGCAAAAAGCAGCAGAAAGAATGATGCTCCGGTCTACTTTGCGCCTAGATGCAGCACATTTTGAAAAACTCCTCACACTGGCATTAATTTATTAATTTTTTTGAATTTTTTTTCTTAAATAATATTTGCAGTGAAAATTGCCTTCTTCCACTTACCATTATAGTCAAAGCATAATTGTGCCCAGTGATGCTCTGATTTGCAATTATATCAGAGTGTACTTTTTGCAATAAAGGTCAAATTGATAATTCTTTTAGCACTCCTGAGGCCTGCAGGATAACCCATAAATATGTGTCATTTTTGGCCCATAAAATTCCCTCAAAACCCTCCAATTCCTATATATTTGAAAAATTTAAAATCTTTTTTTTTTCCGGGAGCTGCCATCTCACGGAAAAAACATAAAAGTTTACAAGCCCCACGTAATCCCATGGCAGTGTAAACATATGTGCTGGTGTGTGGGGAAAGACCTCTGAAATACCTATCATTTTTCACTAACACAAAACTTGCTGCTTTCTGGTGCAAGTAAGAGCTGAAAAGAAGCCCTGAAGAACTTTCAGGAGGTAAAGAGCTTTATGTTACTCAATAGCTGTACCAAAAAGGAGGCAATAGCTGAACACGGGATTCAGGAACGTAATGCTATCATTGACTGTAGCACAGGCTGTCATATTAGAAATTCATCTAGTTCTCCAAGAATTTTTTTAGAACTTTCTTTTTTGTCCTGGAGATGATGTACTCTATTCCCAGAAACCAGAGTGAGAAAGCATTCCCTTTGTTAGTCAGAGTCTAAGTTATTTGGAGCCTGTGGAAATTTCACCTGGGGTTTCCATCAGCAAGAGAAGCCTTAAGGCAAAGGTAATAGATTGATCACTCCTGGTGCATGCAAGGAAGGAAAAGATGAAAAGCCCTTGTAATGCATGTTCCAGAAAATACATTAACTGTATTCCAAAAAAATGGACTGCTTCTCTGTCTTATGAAATTACTAGATTTTTCAACTTTTTGGAATGGTTTAATTTTTTTTAGAGGGAGAGGGATAATATTTTTTTATTTGAAGAAAGATTATTGTAGCTTTTCACAAAACAAGAGGACAAACTGTACTACAGCCTTCACTGCCTTGTGAATATCAGGAGGTAGTCAAACAATCTTTTTTTGTTTTCAAGAGAAAACATTGAATTTAGCATGACAAAAGAAAACCCAACCAAAATGATTAATATCTTTTGAAAGAGAAAAAGAAATCTTCTCATGTGGAATGTGTCACGATTTCAGTACAATGAAATATATTTCTTGGTACTAAGGTTAGCACTGAGGCATGTGAATATATCTGTATAATCAACAATATATTGTTCACATATACAGATAAATTCTTTAACTTTCAGTGCAGTTTGGAAGGTGTATTCAAATATTTCTAGTGACATTAATCTAACACGTTTCAAATCTAAATTAGGTGACAGGTCCAAAACTTGCCTAAATAAAGTAGAAGGCAATAATACAAATAGTATATCAGTAATTTGTTTCACAGTGGGGCATAATGATGATACGAAATTATCTCATAAATATGAAATATTTAAATATGAAACAGATCACAGAATTCTGAAAGTATTACTTAAAAGATGTATTCCAACTCTTCTGTTACTTCTGTGGGAATTTGTTTTTTGCTTGGTTTTCTGTGTTTGAGCCCTGATTTTTAACTTACTGCTTTTTCACTGTTTCATTCTTTAATCAACTCTGATATGTTGCCATTGTGATACACGTACCTGGCTCTGCACTGTGTTGCTTGGCCTGAGACCCAGTTTGTGGAGAACTGAGATATTTTAGTCTCATTTAATGTCACCGAACTGGGGCACTTGACCCGGTGGTCATAGCAGCCCAGTTGATCTGCAGTCACTGTGTGATACCACGCACCAGCAGAGAGAAATCGCTGTCATGCTGAGCCAGGGGTGTGCCCAGCATCCTGGAGGAGAGCTGTGTGCCCTCCCACAGGCTCCATGTCTTTTTTTGGCATTTGGAAGAGCTTTTTCCCCCCTCAGGACTCGGTGTCTGTAATAAGGGCTCTCTGTGAGCTATGCTTTAAGCTGAAGACAGAGCACTGACTTGCTCGATATCTGTGCAGGACGGCATGTGAGGAGTTTTAGATCTGCGCTTTGTTTTCTGAAGTAGCTCTCCATTTTCCACTGAGTGGCATCAAGTGGCTCCTATGGCCTACTCCTATTCCACCTCTAGCAGTGCAATACTATCTTGTCTCCAGCTGTCTGTATTTCCACTTTGCCATGGGAGCTAGTCTTTCTCTGTCTCCCCTTTTTTTGCAGTCCTCAGAGGCAAATCCTTTCTAGCTGCAGGGCTGAACCTCCGCTTTTCTTTGGAGTGGGACAAGTGACATTTCTGGATTAAACATGTTTGTCAGGTTTGTCAAAACAGGGATGGTGGACAGCTACTTGTTATTCTGAAATTATAACTGGATTATATCATTTTTCTATATGCAGAGTAATTTGTACTGCTGATGAAAAATCATAGACATTTCCTTGTTTGCAGTGCCAACTTTTGAATAACCCAGAAATTTTTGCTGGTATGGAATTAAGATACTGAATGTTGACAGCACTTTCTATTCTCTCCTCCTCATTTTGAAGTAAAATTGCAAAGCCAACCAACTTTACAGAAATAATTACATGTTTCTATTTTGAGCCAGTTACTGTAGAAAGAATGGGAAAAAGAGTGGCAACAATGAAGAAAATTATTTACTTTTAAAGTACCAGTTTTACATAAATAAATAAGTAAAAAAGATATATTTGTAATATGTTCTAAAGCACGACTGAGATATTCACTAATGCCTTTGTTCACTGAAACAGAGTTCTTGACTTTAGTAAGGAATATGTTTGGGCCATAGAACAACTTAACGTTTTCCGAAGTGTTGAAAATCCCAAATAAAAATTATTTGGCAGATGTAAGAATGGTGGCAGCAACAATATAATAGTCTGTGATGATGGTGGATAGAAAATAGATCTCAAGCAACTTTAGATCAAATCTTTACCAGAAAACATCTTGGCAATAAACTCTGGCTGTTCTTGGTAACAGATTATGGCAGACTGCTAGATTTCTTCTTCATTGTGGTTTTAACCTATTTTGAGTAGAGGCTAAAGAAAGTTGGGAAAAGTTTTGTCCCTCAGCCCACAAAATTTGGTTTGCCAAACAAGCAACAAAATTCATCTTCTGCCTTCTCAGCATTTTCCTTCCCAGAGGGCTGCATAAACCAATTTACTCCGCAAAAGAAACATGATGGCGTATCATATTGATATGCTTTTTATGATGTTGCCCATAAAATCATTAGATTATCTCATATACTTCAGTACAAGTACATTTAGCTATGCATACTCATACCCAAATGCATTCATACCCATTTAAGTGAATTTGGTAGTTAATGAATTCTTGTAGTTTAAATTCAGTACAGTTGAGTTCTGATCACATTTCTCGATGAAATCCTGTTTAATGACATTCCCAGGTAACTTCATTATGGCAGTTTGAGCATCACAGGAGACAGTAGTTATGTCAGGACAAAGATCCTCAGGTATGTCTCTCTCCCTGAGACTTGATTAAATTGAGAAATCATTCAAGGAGTCCTTGAAATTCAGAAGCTCAACAGCTAATAAAGGTTTTAGCTTTAAAGCCTTATCCTAGAGTATTTCTTTAGATGCCTTTTGTCCCTTTAACTTCGGGAAAGCAGAACTCCTTTGGGCATGGCTAGATGGAGCCATCTCCTGGCCAGACTGCATGGAAAACTTGGTTGAACATGAATATGTCCTAATTCCTGCCTCGGTGGTTAACTTTGCTGTAAATAAAAGAAGTATAAACTGTGGAGGAAGTGCTTCTTGCAGACTGCCAGAGTTAGGTTCCAGTTTGAGTTTATAAATGTAATATGCCAAAAATTAAAAACCAACCATGTGGATGCTTTCTATGATACTTTCTTGTGCATTGTATGAACAGCTAAAGAAGAGGATGAACCACCAAGTGGCAAGTGGCCAAGTGGCCCATTATTATAGCAAGGACACAGTGGTAATCGACCATTATTTTGAATTACAACACATTTTGGGTGAATCATCCCTAAAATACTGTTTTACTAGAGTGACATGAGATGGATGTTAACAAATGATTTGGTATTTTGTTTATCTTGTGCTGTGACGAACTCAGCCCTTTGGTGGCTGGATGTCTTCTGTTCCAAACAGAGCCCTGTCTTCTGCCTCTGCCTGGGGCTAGAAAGGTACCAAAGGATATCCACTTTCACAATGTGGATTCATCTCTTGGATAGTTGAGTAAACCACTGCAGCTCCATGCATTCTTTTTGATGAAAAGATGTAATTGACATGAGAATAACAAAATTTATGTCTGTGAGGGCTTCCATACAAAGCTAGCCATCAGTAAAATTCTTTGTTATTTGTTATTCTTTGTAATCTCTGCTATAATAAAGCTAAGTAAAAACATTATTTTCCATGAGAGTCAATCTCAGTACTGTAACAAGGTACTTGATATTTTGGGGCCAATTATCCCTTGATTTGTTTCAGTATAGGGTGCAGCTATATAAAACTAAGTATTATGTACCTGTACAGGCTACTTAAATGTGCATGAGAAGGTTTTACTGTAGAGCCTCTTCAATTATGGGCAGATACACACATTCTTGCAGCAGCCCAAACTAGAAGTCTGGTTTTATTTTTTGTAATACAGCTGAATTACAAGTTTAAGGCTTCTGTTTTATTGCATGGCAAGATATGAAATTTGAGTTATTGGGTGTTGTCAAGAGCTCTGGATGAACATAACTTTTTTTTGTGTGGAAATAAGACATCTGTTCCTTACAGCTGTATTATACCTGAAAGCTCTATTACAGACACTGCTGAAATTTATCATTTTTTATACTTTAACAGTGAAAAGAAGTGCTTATGGCAGTGGGATTCAAAAAATTACCCTTCAGCAGATTTCTTTTATCTACCTTTTTTTTTGGCGGGGGGCGGGGAATGATCAATTCAACTCAAGTCCTTGCACTCTGGTTTCCTTCTGCAGAATGGAGATGATAATGTTTGCCTACTCACCAGGGACACTTGTTAATGCAGGTGCTACTCTTTCTTTACTGAGGCTAAAGGTTTTATAGAAGTATTGAGATGTTTTAAAGTTCTTGCAAAAACAGATTTCTCAGGATATGAATGCATCGCATACTTTGGAACAGTACTTAAAACTCTGGTACTGCATCATTTTTTGGAGCAGGTGGGAAGTCATTTCATTCAAGCTGTCTTCAGTGACCTCTATCTTAAATGACAGTATATCAAGTTGAATCAGTTTGTGTTCATTCAGTAATTATTATGAATTGTTAACAATCTTTGTCTAAAATTTGCATGTTACTTTCAAGAGTGAACTAATTTATGTAATTTGTATTAATTCAACAAAATATTTTTCATGGGTAAAAATAGAGAAGGTGTAAGAAATTAAACTTTGCTTTTCTAGGAATATTAATTTAAAAGCATTTATGCACCTACAGCTAATATGTCTGAATTAATTTTTACTGTATTGTTTTTCAGGGGGATCCGATATTGAATACCTAGATTTTTATAAGCCAGTGGTGTGGTTCTGGATCCTTGTTGGGCTTGCTTACTTTGCAGCTGTCCTCAGCATGATTGGAGACTGGCTAAGGGTCATATCAAAAAAGACAAAGGAAGAGGTAAGAATATTTTGAAAAGGGAAGAAATACTCCTTTTTATAAAACTTTGAGTAGAATCCAGGTGGCCTTACGGGTGCTTTTGCACTTAGTGTGTATAGGTCAAAGCTGTTTTTGTGTGAGCTCTAATGCTGCAACTCAGACTGCAGGAAACTATGTTACAGTCCATTCAAACATACAGTGTTTTAATTTCACATGTCTGCATAGAAAATTAGATTAAATGTATTATTATATAATTATTATAAGTGTATAATTATTATAATTATTTTATAATTATTGTTAGTGTATATGAACAGTTGCACTTGATTTATGAGGGGAAAATATTCTTAAACTACTGTTCTAGGTAGTAGAATGTAGGCTTTAATTTTTAAGGCAAAAATCATTCTGTGTTGTTTCTAAAAGAGATGCAGCTATGTAAAGAAAATACTTAATGGTTAATTTACATATTTTATAAATGTAATATATCTCATCTATTATTTTATTTTTTTATTTAATTTTTATTCATTTTAAGTTTTATTTTATTTTTCATTAATAATGATTGATTTTATTATTATACTTATTTCTCTATTTCTTAAAGGCCAAGCTTTATAGTGGTAAGAAAATAAATTTTTCATATCATGCAAGGTATTGGAATGAAATATTTAAATATCCCTGGGTATATTTTACCATAATATCTTCCACAGAATTACTTGGTATTTGTAGTCAAGTATATTGCTTTCAATTGAAATAGGTCTTCACTTGTAAATTTCACTCGTTTTCACTTGTTTTCACTTGTATTTATTATTCCAATGATACAACGTTTTAATTTTTGTCATTTAAGAAAATACTCTGGTTTTGAAATTGAAAAATTTCCTGCAATTGTAGCGTGCATCGGGTTTTACTGGAAGTCTGAGAAATTAATTTTGTTTGAAGCAACATATTATTTCCCTCTAATTTAGCTTGAGTTCTTTTGCACGCATGAGTTGATTTGTGCTACTCAAACATAAAAACTCTAATTTGTTTTTGATGGAATGAATATGTTGGCTACTGTGCAGTGGCCTGCTACTCCTGCTACTTATACTGTTAAATAGTTTTCCTAGCTCTAGGGCATGGCATCAATGCCTAGATGTATTCCTGGCAATCCTTGACTTCCCAAAGCCTGTGCTCTGAAGGGTAGCTTACCCCTACTTCTCTCACTGCAGCCCCTCAGGGTGCCTGCCACCTTCTGAGCAGGGGCAGGGCGCTGCTGGCAGCAGGCAGGAGGGTGGGAGCTGGGATCCTGGGCAGGACTAAACCCACTTTGTAAGGAATGTGGGGTGGAAAGCCCTTTTCCATTGCTTTTGTTGCACTCATGGTTCTGTGGTTAGAGACAGCACCGTGACAGGTCTGCTGTAAATACACTTTTAGCAGGCAATTCATAACCTCTTAGCCCTGAAGCAGAGGACAATATTTATTTGAACAGTTTCAGTTCAAGAGTGTCATCTTTTGCCACATGCTGTAAATTTGAAAAGGTATTTATGACTTCCCTTCCACAATGAGCTTCCTAGTGCCCTCCACAGATAGGGAGCAGCAGATATCATCTGGGTGTTCCCATTTGCAGATTCAACAGCTGGCAGGATCACAGCTCTGTTTTCTAGAAAAGCTGCCTTTAACAGCCAGCCTTACACAGCTTACACTGACTGCAGGGAAACCCGTGCATCCTTTCAAATGCCAGTAAACTGCATGGTTGTATTTTGTTATTTTGAGCTTCAGAATTAGGTTGGCCTCACCCATTTTCCCCTCTTCAATAGGAAGAAGTAGGAGAACAATGGAGCAGCTCCCCAGTGAAGTAGTCATAGCACCAAGCCTGCCAGAGTTCACAAAGCATTTGGACAATGCTCTCAGGCACACATTGGAATTTTTGTGCAGGACTTGGGTTGGATTTCAGTGATCTTTGTGGGTCCCTTCCAGCTCAGAATATTATATGATTCTAAGAGTGGTGTTTCCTCCTGGAAGTCTCCTGGTGTCTAACTATTCTCACCTTGGGGCATTTCCTAAATTGTCTAATTTCCCTGGGTTACTTGTGTCTGGATGTTTTGGAAAAAATATGATGTGACTGAGGCACTATGACTTCAGACTATACAAAAATAATCTCCAGGCTTGTTTTTGCTTTATTTTCTCAGACACTGACATATTTTGGTTCTTCACACTACTTCCTGGAATTAATCTGATCTTTAACCTCAGTTTTCTCCTATTCTGTTATCCAGAGCATCTTATCCAGAGATCTTAGTTTCTTGACTATATAATTGAATATATAACACACTAAAGTTTCAATCTTATAATGATGATAATATATTAAGAATGTTTGAATTTTGTAGCTCTTTGTGAAGCTATTTCAATATAGAGTAACTCTGGAAAGGATTTAAAGACACATGAATTGAAGAAACCCAAAAATACTTCCAACACATCAAAAGCATTCCTATTTCTATCAGGGGAAACTGTTTGCCAGGTTATTCAGTACAGTGCTGAGCTTTCTTTTTTCAGGCACTGGGAATGTGTAACCTAGTCCAGCTTTTCATTCTTTCTCACCTTTATAGCCTAAACAAGCATATTCATTTTGTCTACAGCAAGGAAAACCTCATTCTTCAGATATACCCAAATTCTCTTGGCTGAAGCAGGTATTGGGAATTCTGCTATATACAAGTCTCACGTGTGTTAGGTTAGATTAAAGACAGACATAACATAATTGGTGCCATTTCTGCAATTAACCATATCTCTGATGGTCAGAAATCTCCCTCCCTATTTCTTAACCCATTGCTTGGATGTGTGGGAGAATTGTTAGCAGGAATAAAATGCTTTAGCAGTTTAAAATTCTATAGTTTTAACAATAGCAAATACCAGTTTGAGAATTGAATTATGATATACCTTAAGTTATGTGATAGTTAGAAAATACAAAAAAAACCCTGTCTTCTATCCTAACTAAACTGTAGGAAGAAAGTAATATAAATATATTGCATTTTGCTATAAGATTGGCTTATAAGCATTTTACTAATATTCACTTTTTACAGGTTTCATTTTATGATAAAAACTGCTGTTATTAGCTCATTCGTGCTATCTGCCTGGGAAAATCTGAGTGAAGATGCTGAAGGAGTTCAGTGGAAATGTAGTTATCAAATCTCTTTTGTGCCAGCAAAAGCAAGATGAGACTGAATTTCTTGTCTTTTTTTCCAGTTAAACCTAAATTTACAGTGGACTGTTCCAGCTTCTATGAATGCAGATTATAGCAGAGGAACATCTCTGGAGTTCCAATATCCATGAGTGCAGTGAAAAACCCTAGTTCAGAGTCTGGGGTATATTTTTTTTAATTGCCTTGGGGAAACACTGTCAGTTCCTGGGGAAATAGCCACCTACACCTAAAAGTAGCCTTTGAAGTGGGAAACAATGTTATATATTAAAGCCTATTGAGATACAGAACCCATGAAAAAAAATCTGCAGAACTGTGATCAATGCACTCTGGAGACTGAAGCAGATTAATTTATTTCCCAGGAACAGGATGCTGAAAATCTTCCTGAAAATTATTTGGATTGTTATGGGCATCAACAAATAAACAAGGTTTTGTATAGGACTTGTATCCTACTTTCTCGGAAGAAAAGAGTAGTCTAACATGTTTTAGATACAGGGAGGAGCAGATCATTCAGTAGTGATCAGTTGTGCTGGTTTCAGCAGTCTAAGACCAAGCAGCAAAATCTAGAGAATGTTACCTGAGTCCAGAATGAAACAGAGAGGTTGCAAATGTTCTTTACTTCCCCTCAACAATCAAAACTATAAATCATCAGAGGTATACCTCTTTTTATAGGCAGCTGTAATCTCTTTGCTTTTTCCAGTAGTCTAAGGTAAAAAGTATCAATAAATGTCATCGTATTTAGGGCAAGAAGTGAAGTCCTCCTTATTCCAGGGAGGAGGCATGTTGTTAATGAATATCACCTAAAATATATAGTTCAATTAATATATTTTAATGTATTTGTGTCGTTCTTAGAAGCAGTTTACATAAGACTTTGAGGTAATAATGCATTTCACTGTTTCAACAACAACAAAAAAAATCTATCTTTTTCTCAGTATAGTACCAGGAAAGTTTGCCTCATGCAAATGGATGTGAGACAAAAAAAAATCTGATCAGAAGTGCACTAATGCACAGAACTGCTGTTATTTTGATATTAAAATCCAGATAACCAGTATGTCAGTCAGTTGCTCAGGTGGCTTTTGTCTCCTGAAACACTCTGGAGAATTTTGAATGCCTCAGATGGGGAGGGAAGTGAAAGACAAGTAGAGACAGAAGTGGGAGTTTTAGAAGGATTGATCTGGAAGCAGCTCATACAGTAAGATAGATGAAATGTCAGAAAGTCACTGGAACATGCTGTGTGCTGTAATCTTAAGTAGGCGATCTGTCTCTGAAGTTCAGCCTCAGCTATACTAGCTTGCCTTAAACTCCCTCCTCTTCATTATTCTCTACATTCTGATTACTCAGAGCACTTTTAAAGTATTCTGATTTTAGTCTCTTTGAAAGATAAATTTTCAGCAGGATTTTTTTTCCTTGTCATATTTTTTCTTTTACTTCTGTATGCAGCAGCTTCTGAATTCCAGCATTTACAGCAAAAATGCTTACCCAACCTACAATCTTAGACATTTGGCCTATAGATCCTGGAGGATCTTCACTGTGTATCCAGGTGACAGACTTGTTAGACATTGGCTCAGTTTGGATAAATGATTTTTTCATGTTGTTTGTCTTTCTTTTGAATTGAACAACATGTACCCAGCTTTAAAGACCAAGCCTAAAATTTTATGAGAAATAGCACATTCACTTCTTGTGGAAATTCAAGAGGCAGTTGCTATATTGGATATTTATAAACAAATTCAACAAATTTGACTCATCTGAATCATCATTCAATTTAATCTTCTTGGCACCAGTGACAGAGCTGTCACTCAAGTCTGTCAAAACAGAATTAGACTTGTCATGATGATGGCATGGAGATTATTGCACTCCCTAT